TATATATACAGTATACACACACACACATATATATATAGTTGGCTTAACTGAACTACTTCCTGTGCTTTGACACAAGAATATCATTGTAAACGTTTATACTTTTATGAACTGTATGCAAACAATGTTCAAATTTTTAAATAAAGTGACACACCTAATTGTTTTCACACTAAACCTTTTCAAAGTAAACTGAACCCAGTTGTGTGTCTGTAGTGAGACCATCATGTTTCTCCATGAGATCTTCCATCAAGGACTAAAAGCTCGGATCGCCAGCTGGCCAACGTTAGTTCTGGGTGAGTATTACAGAGCTTGATGGCACTGGTGGCCACAACTAAACAATAATATAGCTTCGCTAACTGCTAATCTGCTAGCTAAAATTTCTATTTTGCTAATGCTAAACAGGTGGGAAAAAAATTAGCAGATGCTAATGCTAACTAATAACTGCTAACTTAATCACATGCTCAGTTTTGCCAGATGGAAAATGCTGAGGTGTCATACCAGCAGCTAAAATTATGGGATGCAGCAATCTAGAAACTAATGTTCAATCAATCCATGACATGAAAAGCAATCAAAGTTATATGTCCATGACATCAATACAAAACATTTTAAAGCTTACATGTAGTGCGTGTAAACATTCCCGTTCAGATTGCGTTTTGGGTGTGAAATCATGTTGGATACTAGTTGTCGTTGTGTGTTTTCCTCACAGCGGACCTGTTTGACATTCTGCTGCCCATGCTGAACATTTACCAGGAGTTTGTGCGGAACCACCAGTACAGCCTGCAGGTGCTGGCAAACTGTAAGCAGAACAGAGATTTTGACAAGCTGCTGAAACAGTACGAGTCCAACGCTGCCTGCGAGGGTCGCATGCTGGAAACGTTCCTGACATACCCCATGTTCCAGGTACTGCAAACACAACAACCAGGAAACACACGTAGCAACAACAGTAGCAGCTCCTGAGCATGAATATTAGCGGGGCGGACATTCTTTTCCTGAATCAATAACCACACAAATGTTCATGTTTCTGTGATAAAAGATAGCAATATATTGCTTAATACGTATTCTATTACCGGTAGTTTTTCGTACGAGTTAAGGTTGTTTTCTTGTGAAAACAGTCTGGTCCAGGGGCCTGCAACCTTTGTAATCAACAGAGCCATTTCTGCTCCTCGGCTCACTAATAAAATGTGTCCAGAACCGAAAAACAAGCTACAACTGTGATTATCAATTGGTGGTCCGTGGGCCTTTTCGAGGCCTTTTCAGGAACCTTTATGACCAGTGGAGGTGACATTATAAAACAAAAAAAAAAACTGTAAATTTTATTATTTACTATTATTTTTACACATCAGGACAAATGGAAAGACCATATTCATGTAAAGTAGAAAAATACTGTATATAGTTTATAACGAATTTCAGAAAAACTAGAACAACTGAACTATTCAGACATTTTTTTCTAATTCTTATTATGTGGTCTTCAAATTATTTAAAGGTAATTCTGATGGATTTGAGAGAAAGATCATAGAAAGAAGTTGGATCACTTAAGTACATAACAGGTTAGCATGTTTTAATTAGTATTCATCACATATTTGAATAAAAACTGATTTCTGTTGTGGGTAAAAAAAAACAAAAAGGTTTCAGTTGTTTGGTCACATTTTCAAAGAACCACTGCTGAGGGACCACAGAGCCACGTGTGGCCCCAGAGCCGCAGGTTGCAGACCCCTGATCTAATCCTGACATAATCTGTCTAATCCTGACAAAATCTAATCCTGTCATAATCTAATCCTGTCATAATCT